CTGCAGCAACCCCACCAACCACCAGGCTTTCAGACTCACCTGTGGTGCCCTGCATTCCTCCACCCAGCGTGGGCCTCAGGGCTTCTTTGTGGCCACAGACACCTCCTGTGTTGACACACCTCTGTGGTGACAGCAAGCAGTATCAGCTGCCCACTGCTCCTGTGCTTAGGACGTGGCGTTCCAGCATTGGGGCCTAGGGGATGCACCTCTGCTGTACTTGCTGATTGTGTGCCTCACAGGACAGTTATAGGGCAGTCGCAGGGCAGTTGCTGTGTGTGTGTTGTCATGTCGTCGGTCACTGACGTTTTGTCTTCCCTGGGGCCTGCTCCTTTGACCCTGCCAGCATTAGGAAAAACAGACCTCCATGGCCCTCCCTGCCAGCAGGTCAGAGAACGGAGACTGAGGCTCAGACCAGCAGCCAGAGTGTGGTGAGGCTGTTGAGGACCAGCCTTTAGTTGTCAATGGACTTTTATTTTATTTACTTATATGCAGTGCAGAGAATGGAACCCAGTGCTTCGCACATGCTAGGCAGGCGGTCTGCCACAGAGCAACCACCCCAGCCCTCATTTTTAATGGTGGACACAGTGCACTCTCTGCAGGGAGGTCCTCCCCCGAGGGGTGGCTGACACCTGAGGTGTCTCCTCTGGCAAGTTGGTTTTGGTCCAGTGACAGTGACACAGATGGCAAGGGCTGGGAGCAGAGTCTAGGCAGGTACTTATGAAATCGAATTGTGGCGTCCAGATGCCAAAAGGCCACGGTACCCAAGTGGCAGGAGCTTTTCCCAGACCCCAGCGGGTAGAAGTGGTAGGGATAAGCTGTGCTGGCTGGAGGCGTCTGGGGAAGGCACCCAGGAGCGAGGCCTCACAGGTGGAGCCTCGGCTGGACTTCGCTCCAGCAGTTGCAGGAGGTTCCAGCCATGGAGGCATGTGCCCAGGCCTTCTGCCTCGAACTGCAGAGGGGAGCACGTGCGCTCGGCAGCTCAGGGCCCGGAGGCCAGGCCAGGAAGGGTGCTGGGCACTGTCCTGCCAGGTGTGGTGCTCTTGGTGCTTCACTTTGATATTGCTCAAAATGAGTGTCAGGCAGGGCTGAAGGCGCAGGGAGACCTGGGCATGAGGTCCGTCCAAGTCTAACAGCTCGCGTCCTGCTGTGTGGGTTTGATTTCTGGGACTCGTCCTCCTATTCTGAAACGGAAGCAGCCCTCAGGCTGTGAGTCTGGGTAGCAGTGGGTGTGAATTCTCTGCGGCAGACGCCCTTCCACACCTGGAGCACTGTGGAGTGAAGGTGCAGTTGGCAGAATGTGGACAGGAAGCTGCTCAGAGGAAGTGAATCCTATCAGGACAGTCAAGGAGAGTCGGCATGCTGGCTTCTGTCCTCGCTGGGCATGAGGACTGTTTCAGGGTGTTAGGCTTTAGCTCTTGTATGGACGCTGATAATTTAAAATTGATGAAGAATTGATCCTATCAAGTCTGATATTTTCTTTGGTTTACTTTTTATAAATATTTTTAAAATATTTGTTTTAATTGTAGGTGGACACAGTAACCTTTATTTTATCTCTATATGGTGCTGAGGATCAAACCCAGTGCCTCATGCATGCTGGGCGAGCACTCTACCACTGAGCCACAGCCCCACCGCTGTTAACTTTTCATCACTTCTTTGAATGTCTTGTTTTCATCCTTAAAACAATGAATAGTTTAGGATCCTATTTCAGGAGATGGTTTTCCATGGTGAAGGAAATTCCCTTTCTTGCCAGGAGTCCATTTGGGGCCTTTGTCATTGAAATAGACTGTTGTCTGCAGCCAGCCTTGCCTGGTCTTCCCTTTTGTGGTGTGGCCTTAGGACCTAGGAAGAACTGTACTTTCTACCTTTAAAGTGAATAAAATGGCATTGGTGTGCCTTGCCTAGGAGAGTACCTCAAGCCTGGGGACCTGGGGCATGGCCATCTTCAGGAGGAGGGCTCTGTTGGGGGTGGGCCCCGCCTTTACCAGGCTCCCTCCAGGAGGGTGGTGCACGCCAGCTGTGTATGCCCAGCATGTAGCACCCCCCTGTGTCTTCTGCTGGGCTTCTCCTGGCACCCCTGGGACATACCTGTCCCATTTTGGTGTGGTGATTCAGCCCGTGGATTTTGACCTGTCACTAGATTGAGAGCCAGTTAGGTCCCCCCACATAAGAGAGCAGACCACCTCCAGCCCTTCCAATGGTGGGATGTGGTATGTGGCGCGTGTGTGGTGACATCCAGAGTGTTACGTGGAGTATCCTAGATGTGCCTGCCAGGGTCCCAGCACACTGCCAGCTCTCATGGAGAAAAGGTCCATCTCAGATCTGTCTCTGGTGCCGCAGTTTGTGCCCTGGGAGGCCCTTTGTTGGCCCACCAGAGTCCAGCTGGAAGTGTCCCTGGGTCAGAGGGCTTGTGGGACACCGTGGGGTGGGCTCCTCAGTCTTGGCAGCCACAGAGGCATCTCCTGGCTCACTGAGGAGTGTCCAGACCTTAGCTAAAATGGCCATCTCTGCTCTTGTTGGACTCCACATCACCTTCTGCACCAGGCTTGTGGGTACAGCTGTTTAAGTGAGCACTAAGGGCGCGTCTTATGGGCCTTTGCTGGCTGGTGCCTGTTGGGTCCAGCCTGAGGCCCACCCCACTGCTTGGTCTAGTTCCCCTGCTGTCACCTGGGGTCAGATGTCTCACAGACCCTGCTGCAGTCCTGCCTGACTCCAGAGGGGTTCCAGCCAGCAAAAAGGTGGACGCATAAAGAACCCTACGGAGGCTGAAGAGATCCATCCTGTCCTCAGCAGACCCTCCCAGCTGAGTGCTCAGAGCCAGCGGTTACCTGAGGGCACATCGAGTGGCATCTCTTCCTGGGCAGGCCTGACCCTCATGAGTCCATAGTCTCTTTATGGGTAAGAGTACCTTGACACAAGGACTAGCTCAGGCCCCTCCATGGTTCAAGCCAGCTTATTTGTCATCAGCCACTGGTGCTTGACTGGACAGTGGTCAGAGGACTAGTACCTGGCTAGGGGGTCCCTGTGCTCTCTGGCACAGAGGGTAAAAACGTTTGAGGGTAAATTGGCGAGATGGAGAGGGTGGATGGGCAGCATCTCTAGGGCGCTCTGTGTGGAAGACACTTCCCTGAATGTCACAGAAGTGCTGTGTTTAGGGGAAGAAAGTTCTAGTGCTGGCCAGGCCACAACCACGGCTACGAGGCTCGTGGGCAAGAGGCCAGGCCTCTGATGCCCAGTGTCACGAGCCTGTGGCCATAAGAGCCAGCTGCAGAAGAAGCAGTGGGCTTTGAGGGGGACGACTCACCTTCTGCCCTGAGCCAGCTGCGGACCCCCGTCCACTGTGGAGCAGAGCAGCACCACACTCTGCAGCACCTGGGCTGGGTACCCGTGAACCCCTGCTGTCCTGTTGCCCCACACTGGTGTGTGGCTGGTGCACCCCTGCTTTCCTGTTGCCCCTGGTGGCTCCGAGGCCAGCATCTGGCTGTCGTCACAGGCCCCCACTCCTTGGAAGTATGTGCCACCCCAGGACCCTCCTTGCCCTCTGCAGATGTCGCTGGGTCGTGCTGCTGGGATGGTGTGGGGCTGTGCGGGAACGCCTGCCTGAGCAGCTGGGCTTCCCCCCTGTCCTCCTGTCTTTCTGCGCAATGCCGGGCTCTAACCAGCTCCTTGTGTGGCTGTGCCCGGACAGCTTTGCTTCTCCACAACCTCACAGCCTCCGTGGGTTCTGTGGAGTCCACTGGGTAAGGCCATTGTCCCCACTGCCCCCTACCTTCCTCCCCTGCAGAGCTGGACCACGGTCCCCTATGGAGTCCTTATGAAACACGAGTTTTTGTTGCTGGCTAGGCTGATGTGTAGGGATATATGGTTTCTAAGCCAGTGCTGCATTCCTGCCTGGCAGGTGGCAATGTGGCAGTGCTGCGTTCCTGGCCTGGCAGGTGGCTGTGCAGCAGAGATTGCAGACAGGGTTGCCCAGGCCAGTTCTCTGCTTCTGTGCCCTCCTCCCCTCCTGCTCACCCTGCTCTGCTTGGTTGGGCCTGCGACCAGCAAAGGCTTGCCCAGGAGCCCTTGTCCCTAGCACCAGCCCTGCCCCAAGCTTCCGAAGAACCTCGTCCAGTGCTGGCTTCTGATACATGGTCAGTGTCCAGGTGGGCCACTTTGGCTTCCTCACAGAAAGAGACCTAGGTGGGAATAGAGGTCCCCACCGTGCCTGTGGGCATCTGGGAATTGCACCCTGTGCTTTCTCCATGGGGTCAGTTGGGCCACACTACAAGGGTGTCCCCAAGGAGTCCTAGGGTCTTGGATATTCAGTTCTTGGAGTGAGATATTTCTGTATCACAGGGACAGAGGAAGAGTCCATCCCCCCACCTGGCGTTCAGCCAAGGAGTCTCCTGAAACAAGCTGAGAGTGGACATGTAAACAGGAGAAAGGTGGACAGTTGTGTCCTGGGCACTGAGGAGGGAAGGGGGCACCCTGGTGCATGTGCACTGCCAGTGCTGGTCTCCCTGCGCAGTCACCACCTCTGGTTGGCTGGGTGCCTGGGGATGGGACCCACGGTGGATGGCTATCTCCGGGAGGACTACTGCAGACATGGGCCCTTCTGAGCCCACCTGCCCGGACCCACTCTCCCTGCACAGCACTGGAGAGTCATCTTGAGCCCACAGCACCATCCTTGCCTTTGTTGCCTGGGCCATGGGACAAGAGGCTGACTGGCTGGACCTGGAAAGGTGGGCAAGCAGGTCTCTGCCTCTGGAGCAGGGTGCCACCCTGACACTGTCCTGGCCCTTGGCTTCCCTCTGCTGTCCCGAGGGATCCTGAGGTGCAGGCCTGGCCTTCACCCTGTGGACTGTGGGCATGTGATCTCCTGCCGCCATCTGCTCCTGGCCCACGGCTCTGGCCCTGCTGGGTGCTGATGGAGAGTGTCGCCTGGGGCTGGGGTCTGGTAGGAGTCAGCCCTGCCTGGAGCCTGAGTGAGCCTCACCACGCTTCTGCTCTGCTCTTTCCAGGGAAAGTGCGGTGGCCAGACTTCAACCAGGAGGCCTACGTGGGCGGGACGATGGTGCGCTCTGGGCAGGACCCCTACGCCCGCAACAAGTTCAACCAGGTGGAGAGCGACAGGCTACGCATGGACAGAGCCATCCCAGACACGCGGCACGACCAGTGAGTCCCCAGCTGGCACCCGTGGCAGGCTCGCCCTGCTGTGCCATGGGGTCTCCCCTCCCAGTGACGTCAGGCTAGGAGAAGCCAGGACTGCCCTGCGGCAGCGTGCAGAGGCAGAGTCAGAGGGAGAAGTGGAGGAATTGACTCTGTGGCTGAGCACTTGTTATTTTGAGGATCCAGTCACAAAACACATTTTCCACTATTGTCAACCTTAGAGGGAAGAAACTTTAGATCCTCGATTACTGGGATGGCTTAAGTCAAAATGTGGAAACTTGGAGGAGGAAGTCGGCCTCCCAGCAGGGTCAATGCTAAATGGAGCAGAAACATGGGCACAGGAGGGGTGTGTCATCTTGTTACCCAAAGTTTGATCCTTGTCCCAATGCCAGTCCAGTAATGAGGACATTTTTTTTGAGAAAGGAAAAAGAAGGCTTATTGCTTTGCTAGCAGAAGAGAAGCCAGGGGACTCCTGTCCCAGAGGCTGTGCTTCTGCCTATCAGCAGGAGCAGGGGCTGTTTAAAGAGGTGGCTCAAAGGCAATGCTCCAGGTGTTCTCTGTTGCAGCTGTAATTCACTTGTTAATTTGGGAGGTCTTTTGCTGCCACCCCCAGAGTCTGGATTACCCCATTCCTGTGGTGGTTGTGTGCTCCGGGACAGATAGCTCTGCCTGCATGGGGGAAAGGTCATCCTGTGATTAGGGAGGGACAGGTTAGGGAGGAGCAGGGAGGGAGGAAAGAAAGAATCAGGTCCACTTTTAAACTCAATCGCTGTGACCGACAGCGAGGGCTAATTTCAGAACACAAATGGACCCTGCTGCGACCACTCTGTGCACCTGGATCCTGGCTTTACTTCTTCGGGGGCCTGGGGTGGGTGTCCGGGCACCCAGGCTCCAGCTTCGTGCAGGGTACCCCCTGTATGGTCCAGCTGTTGTCACCCTGCCTGGTAAGCCTTGCTGTGAGAACACATGGACAAGGGCACTCGGAGTCCCTAAGGCACTGGTCTTGGTTTGGATCACCCAGGAACTGGAGCCCCACCCCAAGGCCACTTGCTTCCTTGAGGGTCGGTGGGCCCTCTCGCCTGTGCAGTTGTGTTTGGAGTTCTGGGTGGTGTCGGTAGCCTGGGGAGGATCACACGTCTACCATGTTGGGCCCTCTGCAGGGACACGGGAGTGCCTGTTGGAGGCCCAACCGTGCACATGGGTTGCAGCCTGGGGCTTTGTCATCGTCACCCAATGTGTCTCTTAGACTGAGACTTCCAGGATAAGAGATAGAGCTGGGCTGGGCTTTCAGGGACTGCAGAGGAAAGCAGTGTGGGAGGCCAAGTCCCTTCCCTGCCCTGGGGACTTCGGATGGTAGGGACCGGTCACCTCAGGGCTGCCCTTAGCTTGGTGTCCCAGGCAGCTCTGAGCACCACAATGGTGTGCGCGTGACGTGCTGTATAACACGTGTCACGTCACCGACCTCGCCACTCATGTCCCACCCCAGATCGCTGCCACGCAGGGTTCCTATCCCCACGGGTCCTTCTCGAGGCCTTGCACTGGGCCCCAGTGCTATGCTGCTGGCTACATCGGCTTGGTCAACTCTTGAACACTCAGTGGACCTGTTTGCAGTAGGGGCCCTGGCCTGGGGTCGGACCCAGGGAGTCGCGTTTGAAACTGTATGTGTCCGTCGCAGGCGTAGACATGCACGTCTCCAGGGAGTCCGTGGCACTTTCCAGATGGCCCCAGGGGTTCGTCTCCACTGCCTGGCTTGCAGGCTCCCCCAGGCCACTTGGGATCCTCATGTGCTGTGATGCAGACGTGGGTGGTCTCCTGGTGCAGGGAGGAAGCCACAGCACCCAGGTTGTTGGAAACTTGCCCAGTGACTTAGAGCTTTGAAGAGGGCTTGGCCTGAGCCAGGGCTCTAGCAGAGCCTCACGTGGACAGCCTGGGGTACCATCTGCACAGGAGATGGGCCTCCAATCACGGTGGCTTCAGAGCTGGTTTTCCCAAGACTCGTGTACCTTTCCCTTGGGCTGAGGGTGGCCCTTCCTGGCGCCCATCTGTAAAGTTCTGGCGATACGTCGGAGAGGGAGACCACCCAAGAGACTGACTCCATGCAATTGGCAAAAGGGGACATTTATTGGGGATCCATTCTAGCGCGCTGGGGCTCCGTGCTCACTCAAGAAGGGAGAGCAGCCCAGAGCCCAGAGCAGAGTTCAAGCGGAGCTTAAGTATACTTTTTGGAGAGGGTGGGGGGCTTTGCATACATCAGAACAAATCATCATGAGGCGCGGGAAAATTGAACAACAACCCTGAGTCAGGATTAGTGTATACATTGGCGGGTACAATCAGGGCAGGAGTGATTGGTGCTCCTAGGTGGGGTACACATTCAAACTGATTGGTTTGGACCCTGAATATCTACGTGACAAACTGCACAGGGTCTTGAATGCTTACGTGAGGAGTTGCACAGGACCCCAGTCCATAAATCACTAAATGGCCAGTAGGGCCTTGTCCTAACTGCCTCAGGAATTTAACCCATGCTTTGCAGTTTTAGAAGCAGGTTTACAAGCCTGGTCCTTTACACTTTAACTCAGGCTCTGCGGCTTAGAATCAGCTTGGAAATTTTACCTTTACACATCCACACACAGGCCAAGCTCCTCTGCTGCCCACTGCAGGGTCCTTCCGCAGCCTCCATGTATGTGCACTTGTGTCGCCAACATATCCGGAGTGGGAGCTTGCCAAGCGGGTGTACAGGTGTCACCGTGTGGGCGTTCTCAGGTTGCTTTCCGTTCTGGCCACTGGATGTGTCAGGTGCATGTTAGAGCAGCAGCTAGGAGCCTTCCACCATCACTGGACTTTGGCTGAATTAAGTTCTGTTCAGAGCCAACCTGGAGCCTGATCTGGAGGCAGCTCGATATCCTCAGAGTGAGGTCTGGGAGGACTGAGCTTGTGGGCGCTACCTGGGAAGGCCGGCCTCTCTTCCTTCACATGACCACCGGAGCATGTTGAAGAAGGTGGCCTCTGAGAACGAACTTGGTGCCCTACAAACCTGGCATGAATCCCAGACCTCCCATTCTTCTGTGGCCTTTGTCCCCTATGACGTGGCACACGGCCCCGTCTGACCTGTGAGGGTCAGGCAGTGTTGGCAAGGCCGTCCCTCCTTAGGACATAGCTCTGGAGCCACTGTGGCAGCCCCTGCTCTCCCAGAGCCCACCTGCTGCCCAAGGGCTCCCCGCAGGTCTGTCACCACTGACGTGCCGGCCTTTGCCTTTATTCTCTTCCTGCCTTGGCTCTTTGGAATGGTGGCTTGTTACCTGAACACGTCCTGGCATCAGGACGCCCAGTGGTATTGAGAGGGACGCTTGGCATAACCTGCCCACCTGTTAAATTCTGTGGATCATTGATGGCATCAGGAGTCACAGAAGCATGGCCAGCAAGAGGCAGGAGCATGGGCAGCCAGGAGAAGTCGCACTGACCCCTCACAGCCTCCAGGGCAGGCACAATGAGCCAGGGTCCCGAGGGCAGCAGACAGGCAGCCCCACGCCAGGTTTTGTTCAGCTCCACAAGTGCATAAAAACAGTGCTAGAGAGCTTGTCCGGGATCGGCACGCCCAGCTGGGCGAGTGCACAGAAGTGCCCAGGACACGAGGCTCCTGACAGGCGGAAGGCCACGCCACCACCTGCCTCGCCTAGGTTGACCATGGAGACCTGGAAGCACTTGCTGTCCAGAAAGGCTGCTGCTGCTGTCCAGGTGGGCTGCTGAGGGAGGTGGCCCTGGAGGCAGCTGACCCTGGAGGCACCAAGACTGGTGTGGACTAGAGCTGGCTGCGAGGTTTGTGGAGAGCAGAGGCAGCTCAAGGCTGTGGCTGTGCCCTCCCCTCCCTGGCTTTGGCCTGTGGTTTGCAGACAGTTGAGATGGACTCAAGACCCTGCCAGAGCTGGCATCTAGCAGACTCCTGCCTGGGTGCAGGAGAGCTGGCCAGCTGCCCTCCCCATTTGCTGCTGGGAAGCAGTCCTGTGGGATTCCACCTGGAGTCGGGAGTGACCGTCAGAGCCACGTCTTAGCAATCTCTGGGTCCAGTTCTGGCCTCCCAGCCCTGTGAAGGGTTTGGCTTGATTCTGGCCTGCAAGGCCTTCCCTCTGCTCAGCTCAGTCAGCCTCTCTGACCCTGGCTCAAGGGCTATGCCATGTGCTGGCCCAGCTCTCCAGGTACTGTCCTCCTCTGGGTCACCAGCCCACCCCAAACCTGGCCACCTCTCAGTCCTTCCAGGAGATTCTTTGAGGCATCTTATCTAAAATGGCCTAATAATTAGTAGCAGCATGATGATGTGTTTTGTAAACCTCTCCATCATGGCTACTTCCCTGATTTTCTAAAAAATTTGATATAAAATCTGCAACAAGTATGCACTAAAATGTGGTTTTAAAGAAAAATGTAATTGCAAATTTTTTAAATGATATAAATATAAATTTTTCTCAATAATATAAATAAATAAATAAATAAATAAATAATAAGAATAAATACCATCAAAAGAAACTTCTCCACTAAAAAATTTGCCTTCTCGAAATTCCCTGCTCACCTAGGTCTGCAGGAGATGCTGTTTCCCTCTGTGCACCCTCGTGCGGAGCTGGAGGAGGTCGTCACACCTGGCGTTGTGCGTCCAGGAGACCTGGCCAGCTGCTGGCCCAGCACAGCACTGTGTCTCAACTAGGGCCACCAGGTGTATCCTAGGAGTACAGGGTGGCAAATGCCAGTGACTCCCGAGGAACAGCACACGCACGTCAGGACCGTAATCATGGTTGGCTCAAAGGGGAGAGCTGATGGATGTAGGAAGGGACAGTTGCGCTCAGTGTCCTGACCTATGCTCAAGGGCACGTGAGGAGCCCAGCAAGTGCCAAGCTCAGTGGTGACCAGTGTGCTCACAAAAGGTGAGGCCCTCTGCTGCTCATGCAGTTGCATGCCATGTGTGGCATCGTTGGCACAAGCTGACACAGGACTGTCCCGGTGTTAGGGGAGAGGCAGGCAGATGGCTAGCTGGAGGAAACCTATTGCCCACTGGCAGGGCTGTGGGGCTCCTGGAGGCCTCTGCAGACAGCACCTCACAATCCAGCAGTGATGATAGCCTGGGAGGAAGGGCAGCCACAGAGCCCTTGCTGGGCTCCAGGCCCTGTGGGAGGAGGGCTGTACGAGACGCAGGGCCTCCCGGGAAACAGCAGGGCGCAGTCCAAGGATGTTTAAAGCTCTGTTACTAAGACAGTGAGTGTCATCTTCAGACCAGGCTGTGGTGTCCAAGCAGTGTCAGGAACCCACCTGAAGCTCATGAGGAAAACCCAGAGGCCCAGGTGGCCACGTGCCTGAGGAGCACACCGGGGAAGCTGCCCCTCTGACCCACCGCAGGCCTGCGGCCATGCGAGTCTTGCAGTAGGAGGCAGCAGAGGCAGACGCGCACCTGGCTCCAGCAACCTTGGAGACCAAGGAGCCTGGCCTGCTGTCTTGCTCTGGGCTGTCCAGCAGAAGAGGTGGGCAGTGTGTACCCACAGGGCAGCATGCAAGGGGTGTGGCCCAAGTTGGGCTCTGTCAGAGGTAAAGCTGGACAGAGTGTACGCCACATGGATGACCTTGGGCACAGAGCCACTTTCTCACCTCCTCTGGGTCCAGAGTTGAAGAACCAGAACTTGAGGGTCAGTATGTTCAACCAGCTGAGAGTGTGTACCGCCATCTCAGGGCTTTCCCGTATGTGTCGCTGGTGCCCGTGCCCACACCTGCCCTTCTTCCACACTGGTACAGTATACAACACAAAGCCCTCACCTGCTGCTGCCCTGCGCTGGGACTTCCAGACTCCGTGCCCCCATGAACGCCTGGTCTGCAGTCTTGGACAAGGCACTGCCCACGGAGACCACTTGGCCTTGCCCTTGCAGACCTGAGTTCTACCGGCATTTCAGGAGGATGGAGCCTTTCCCATCTCCTCTGCCATTTCAGAGCAGGTGCGGTCTTGCAGCTGGCCATGCCCCTCCCCAGCCTCTTGGTGTCCTGAGCCCACATGCACACTCCTGGGGTCTCTGGCCACCCTGCCTCCCCCACCCTAAGCTCTTCCTGCAGGCTGGGTGCCCTCCTCCCTGTGGCTAGGCGCACCTCCCCCAGGCCCTGCTGGGCCTCAGCCCGTCTCCTGACTCCATCCTGGCCTCTGTACACAGGTAGCCTCCACCCACACACGCTGCCCGTGGTGTGACTGTCCCCTGTTCCTGACAGTGGCCTTCTGGTTCTCGATGTCCACTCTCATGGCTATATTCCTTCAATAACCTGAAGGCTGGTGCAGAGGAGTGAAGCACATGCCTCAGCACACAGCTGGTGTCCAGGGCTAGCAGGAGCAAAGCACTAGCCCAGCGGAGCACCAGGGGCCATGAGTCAGGTGGGGCGAGGAGATGCTTCAGCCCCTTCCCACTGCAGACCTGGCCCTCCCTGGTGCGGCACAGAAGCCTTTAGTTTTCCCATCAGAGTCATTGCCACCCAGAGTCACCTGCATCACAAGCCAGAGCTCATCTGTTTGCAGCCACTTGAGTTCCAGATACTGATTCCAGCAGCTCTGAGCCATGTGAGCCCAGATTGGTGTTTTTCAAGTCTTTGTGAGTCTGGTTTCCAAGTCTCCATTTTACTGGACCAGAAGATTCCGGAACCCTGGGAGCAAGTGAACCGGGACCCAGAGTCGCCCAAAGCCCTGCCTCTTCTCAGCACCGTCCTGCTTCTAGAGGACAATTCTCTGCTCTTCCTGCTGCTGACCTCAGACCAGCTCTGCTGGCTCCTGGATACAACCAGCCCTGCCATGGCTGTTGGAGAGCTGGCAGAGAGACGGCCCTCAGACAGAACGCATTCCATTACTCCTGACTTCTGTAGCTCCTGCTCCCGTGGTTTCAGCATGGACCCGGGCACACGCCTGCACATTCTGCCCTTAGGGCAGGAGGGCTCGCAGACTGGTTGCTCCTGCTTCTGCCTGGAGGTTGGCAGCCCTAGTCAGCCCCGTGCCTCACATTGAGGTGGAGGCATGGGAGGTGCCACCCCCGACCCTGGCCTTCATTGGCACCACTTGCCAGTAGCCATCTTGGGACTGGTGCTGTCCAGCAAAGCATTCCCAGTTGAAGCTTTGCACGTGTCTCAGTTCCTTGATCTGACCAGCTGCCAATTCTAGATACCAGTCTGCTTATCAGTAAAGGCTCAGAGGTAACGAGGTTCTGTGTCAGTCACAGAATGCATTTGCCTCAAACAGCAGGGACTGTTTTGTGGTTCTTTCATGACTAATTAAAACAGACCAACTGTGATGACTCAAGTGAAGCAGGGAAGTCCCTCTTGTGATCCCACCTGACTGCTCTGTGGTTGTACTGTTTCTCACTCGTGTTTGAGATTGTCTTCCCATCTGACAGGAAAAGGTGGCGAGGCTGCCATGTCCCTCAGCCCACACCATGCACTGTGTGTAGTTGTCCAGCAGCTGCCAGGGTCCACATGCATCTCACTGATGGATGTTTTGGCCACAGCCACCTCTGCCCAGTGCGGGCTGTCTCAGCTTGGCGGGGACCACACTAGCTGAGGAGTGAGCCTGACCTCACGGCCTGCAGGTTCCTGGGGGTGTTGCCTGTTGGCTGTAGTGGCAGAGTGCTTGATTCCAGGGTCGCAGGACAACCTTGCAGGTGACAGTGACAGCGTGGAAGAGCTTGTGGGCAAACCATTGGCCCAGCCAGCTGAGGGCCAGGCCTCGCCCTCACCACTGCCTGGTTGGTATGACTGTTCAGAACTGATTCTGAGCCAGGCTTGCAGCATGAGCAGCTCTATTCACACTCAGGGACTCTGACTCTGGCTCCTGGCGCAGGCCTGGCACCACACTTGAGCCTCCTGCAGCCACGTAGGCAGTGCCCTCCTGGGTACTGTTCCCTCAGGATGTGCAGCCCTGCCCCGAGCAGCACCAGGAGTCCACAGGCCTGCCTGGCTCTCTGTTCTGCGATGCTTGGGCATTTTAGCCTGGAGCTGAGGACTCTTGTCATGTAGGTAGCACTTGGTACCCCTGCAGTTCTATCTCTGGAGTACACACACTCAGAAAGTGCTGTGTGGAATCTGCCCACCTCTGGAGGCCTGGTCTCAGGTTCTGCTGAGAAGTGGCCCCAGAGCTCTGCTAACTGCTCAGGAGAAGCAGTGCCCTTGTGCTCCATTCCACCGGCTGCAGGCACCACCCTCACTCTGGTTGCTTGGAAACGGCCTCACTCTGGTTGCTTAGACACAGTTGTGGGGCACCTGACATCCAGGTGGAGGGGAGTTGCCATGGGCCCTGGCTGCTCGTGCCGAGTAGAGGGGAAAGTACAGGTAGGGCAGTGGGCACAGTGGCCTGCCCTGGGAACTGCAGTTGCTGTTAGAGTGCCAGAGCTACGTCTGCAGCAGGCTGGGGTGGCCCTAGGCGGTCCTAGTCCGGTGTGTTCTCAATGTGCTGGTCCCTGTGGTCACGTCCTGAGGGAGCTTTGTCTCCTAGCAGGCCAGTGGCTCCCAGCTGCACAGTGCAGCAGCCATGCCACACTGTACAAACGGACCTTCTCTTCCCTCAGGTGTCAGCGGAAGCAGTGGCGTGTGGACCTGCCAGCCACTAGCGTGGTGATCACGTTCCACAACGAAGCCAGGTCGGCCCTGCTGAGGACCGTGGTCAGGTGAGGCCAGGACACCAGCTGTGGCCCAGTTAGCCGGGTCAACATGGCCAGCGGGGCCGTGGATGGGCCACCTGGTAGCTCTGTCCCTGGGCAGCTGATAGCCCCTCCAGCCTAGGCGGGGCCAAGAGAGGACACCCGCCCGGTTGCCTGCACCTGGCCACGGCCTTGTCCTCTGTTTCTCCTCAGTGTGCTTAAGAGAAGCCCTCCGCACCTCATCAAAGAGATCATCCTGGTCGACGACTACAGCAATGACCGTGAGTGCTGGTCCTTCCCCAGCAGGCTGTGGGCGAGGGTGCCGGGCAGGCCACGGCCAGAGGGAAGGGCTTCTCCCGGCCCAGGGGCAGCGCCCACCTAGCCACAGGGACTCATGCTCCCTCTCCTCTCTCCCTAAGCTGAGGACGGGGCCCTCTTGGGGAAGATCGAGAAAGTGCGGGTCCTCAGGAACGATCGGCGGGAAGGTAAGTCTCTCTCCCCAGCCTGGTGGCGACTGGACAGTGCTCTGGCTATGAAAGTGGGCAGTGCTCTGGCTACAAAAGCAGTCAGGTCTCTGGTCCCTCTCTGTGCCCTGTCCTGTCCCAGAACACACAGGGAGGACGTCAGACACCTAATCCATCAGAGCTGTGTGTCCTGGGTCTGTTCACACATGAGAAGCTCTGTTCACACTTAGGGACTCTGACCCATCCCTGAAGAGCTTCAGTGCTCCTGGCTGCAATGTCTGACCAAAGAGCAGATCCACGGCCGGCAGCTACCGCAGGGGGCTATCCAGGACGGTGACACGCTGCCCTCGGTGCTCACACCCCTGCTAGTCTATCTCCCCGTGGGCTTCCTGTCACTGGACAGGGCTGAGCCCCAGGAGCAGGCCGTGGCAGGAGGGCTTCCCAGGGATGTGCGTGTTGGGGAGCTCAGGTTGGTGTGGCTGGTGTCCTGGTACCAGAGTGTGGAGAGAGGCCCCTCTTGGGGTCGGGGTCTCTCAGTTTCTCCAACTGCAGAGCCATGGCACCCGTGCTGCTCCCAGGGATTCAGGAGTAGCAATGCTTCCCAGCCAGGGCACAGCCCTCCTCCTTGTCCTCACATGGCCACTGTGCTGGAGGAAGAGGGTGTCTGAGCAGGAAACTGCCCCGTCAGCCCAGCAGCCCTCGGATGGGAGCAGTGCCTTGGGCACCTGTCCTCACCAGTGCAGCCGGTAGCCTGCTCTTCAAGGCACTCCCCTGGCCTATCTTCAAGTCCACAGTGCCTGTCTTCAAGGCACTGTGGCCTTGCTGGGCTGGTACCATCCCCAGACCTGACCACCTGCTGCATTCCTTATGTCCCCTGAGTGACAAGGCAACGGTGAAGTCTCTACTGAGTGTCCTCACTCCCTTGCCTAAGAAAGGGGAAGCTGGCCCAGGACACAGGAGGGGAGGAGAGAGGTGGGGAGAGGGAGAGGAAGCAAGTGGCTGTTGTGTCGCAGTTTGTAACTGGCCTGTCCCTTGCTGGCCTTATGGGGGGTGCCCATGAGCTGCTTATAAACTGGCCATGTGTCTGCATATTGACTCTGGACCTCTGGACTTGGTGCTCATGTGGGGGAGGAACTGTGTCACTGCTAGGTTTAGCAGGGGTGAGGGGCATCCTGTGGGAGCAACTGGCAGGCAGGCCTGGACAGCTCGAGTGGGCAGCAGCTGTGAGATGCGGCCATACCTGTCTTGAACCCTAGGCAGGTGCTCCTGCAGTGCTGTCCAGCTGCAGGGAGCAAGGTGGGCCAAGAAGGAGCCTGGCTGGCTGCTCAGGCACAGCTGAAGACAAGGCAGAGGAGGTGGGCAAAAAGCCCCTGTCCACAGCAAAAAGCCCCTGTCCACAGCTCAGCCGCCTGTCCCAGGGCCACTGTGGCACTGTCTCCTCTGCCTGCCTCTCAACCCCACAGTGAGGTTGCCTCGCTTCAGGGATTGAGAACCTCCTCAGGAGGTCGGCAGGGAGTAGGAAGGCCCTGGACCTGCCTCCTCTTCACTTCCAGAGCCTCTAGCTCTTCCTGCCCAGAGTCCTCCGCTGGGGCCGTCTCCTCCACCCCAGGCGCTCTCTTGATTTTCCCTCACCAGTGGCAGCATCTGGGCCTCTGTCCTGAAGAACCTCCTCCTTGTCCCAGAGGGAATTTCTGACTGGAATTCTGAGCTGGCCTTGGATGCTTTTCAGCATGTTAGAAGTGTTGCTGCGGGTTGTCCTTGCCTGGCCTGCGCTTTTCTGCCAGGACCACAGGCCTGCTTGTGCCGTCCCTTGGGCCTCGGCACCTCCTGGCTGCACATAGCCCTCATCACAGGTGTCCTGGTTCACTGCCCTGGGCCTGAGTCCCCTTTACATTTAGGCTGCTTTGCTTCCGGGAGGTGTGAAGTGTCATTTTCCACCAGACTTGGGAATTGCTGGCCGTTTGCATCTCCAGCGCTGTCCTGCTTTCCCCTCGACGTCTTTCCTCTCTGTTTTTCAGGAGGGCCTGTGTCCCTGGCCTATCTTCAAGTCCACAGGTCCCTCTGCCAGCTCCATTCTGTGATTCAGACAGGTCAGGGAGCTGCTCGTCTCCCATCACTTCCTTTTCCCAGCTCTCGAGTATCCCCCTGCATCTGCCGGACAGGCTCCAGTGCTCTGATGAGGTCCCTGTCTGTTCACTTCCCATGAGCTCTTGAACATAGTCATAAAAGCTATTCTAAATCCTTCTGCTGATCCAGTGTCTGAGTCATCTTGGGATGATGAGTTTTTCTTGTTGAGTTTTTCTTGTGGAGATGGACCATACTCTGCAATTTCTCAAGTCTAGTTAGTTTTTATTTTACAATAGATGTTGTGGATGGTGGCGACACTAGGTTATATTCTCTCTCTGAAGGATCTTGATCTCTTTTAAGCAAGACAGTGAAGTGACTGGTGGTGACTCTGCTCTGGTAGGCGGACAGGTGCTTGGCTGGGATGGGGATGACCTGGGTGAGTCTCTTGTTTCTGAGATAGTAGTCTGCATTTCTGAATGTGATCCTTTGGGTTTCCATAGAACTGAAGTGTTCTCCAAACTTCTCTAACTTGACAAGACTTGAATTCCAAACCTTGTGTCCACAGGGATTGATAGCAGCTGAATTTTCAGCTGTGTCCACTACAACAGGAAGCAGATGAACTCAGCTTTCTGGTTGGTCTTCCAGGGCTTCTTGGAGTACAGGCCTGGGAAGTTAGCTCAGCAGTTAGCCAGGCATGATCACTGGCCCTTTTCAGGGTCTCCTCCTCTAGTACCAGCCAATCTACAAGTCCTACACTTTCTCCTCTGGCACCTTAAACTAGAAGGGCAACATTGCAGGGTGGGGTGCCTTGGGAAGCATCCCCTGAATGTAGCCTTGGGCCAGGTGGGCCTACTCTCAGGAGTTGATACCCTGTCTTCTGTTCCTCTGGCTCTGCCACACAATTGGCTTTATATCTTACTTGGAGTTCATACCAGATTTCCAGGCTGGGTTTTGCCCAGTCACAGCGGCTCTGCAGTCAACCGGTCACTCTGTCCTTTGCCCCTGGGGGCAGGCAATTACGTAGGGTCACCATTGGCTCTCCTCAAACTGCATAAAGAGGAACGTAGAGCCCTCATCTTCCCTGGGTATGAGCCTCTCGTCCAGTCCATACACAGAGCCCCCAAGCACAGCATCTGTCGCATTCCTCACGACTAAGACACTCAGGGTCACCCAGGGGAACTAGGCTGCATAAAATAACCACACAGAGACAGAGATACCTTTTTCTTTGGGTCCTGACGCCTCCTCTGACCTTAGGGGTCCTCTGACCTTAGAGGTCCGTGGAAAGAGAGTGAGCAGGTGCTGAATCCTTTTATTGTGGAGAAGCCATTCAAATGAGGCAAGGGGTCAGGTTTCAAGGCATTGAGTCTAGCTTTGTGATGTCTGCTGTCAGCAGGTTGACTGATAGCTAGGACGGCCACACTCAAGGGCAGAGCAAGAGAAGGGGACACACAAAGGGAGCTTCCATGGAACATTCTATCCCAAACAGGGCAAAGGGGTAGGGTTACAAAAGAACAGGGAGTGTAGCTCAACCCCAATGTAGCTCAACACCTGAAAACACACCTTCGATTTCCTGTGCTGGGACAATGCCCAAGTCACCACAAAATGTAGTGATAGGTCACAGCCTCTCGCTTCAGGATGGAAGGCATGGGTCATCCAGAGTGGCTCCCCACAAGCATCCAAGACAGTCAGATCTGTGTCTCGAAGAGCAAGTGTGTGTGGCCAGCAGGTTGCAGGCGTTGAAGCTGGCCCAGCAGCACCACTGGGTCTCTGGCTCTGATAGGTCTCAGAAGATAGAGACATCTGCAGCAGGCTGGGGGGTTATGACCAGGTCCCAAGGTATGGAGCTGACGTCTTCCAGGGTCCAGCCAGTCGGGAAGCTGTGGCTGAGCCAGAGAGAAGTCCTTCTGAAGGTCTAGCTTCCCTGCTAGATACAGGCTTTGTTATGCCAAGGTCTTTCTGGTCGGGTGGCTCTAGGGGGTGGCCTTCCCAGGCAACAGTTAACTGCAGAGAAGCTTGGGTTCTCACTTCCCTGATGCACTTCTGCCTTCCTTTTCAGGCCTGATGCGCTCCAGGGTCCGGGGTGCCGATGCTGCCCAGGCCAAGGTCCTGACCTTCCTGGACAGCCACTGCGAGTGTAACGAGCACTGGCTGGAGCCGCTGCTGGAGCGGGTGGCTGAGGTGAGGCCCAGGGCCAGGGCGGGGCACATGGGCGCAAGGCCTGTGGTTGTGGGCTGGCCATGGGTGCCCCTGGTGCGGGGAGGAAGTCAGTGCCTCTAGGGGTTCATTCATAGTGCTTTGGGCTGTTGGGGTCCCTGTGCAAGGAGGCGGCAGGCTCGGCAGAGGCTGGGAGGTGGCTGGTGAAGGCAGCTTTGGCTCAAGCACAGCTGCTTCCTCGCCTTAGCTCTGAGGGCGTGAAGGGACCTGGGACTTCAGGCTGGGGCAGTGCCAGCCTCGGCTCCCACTGAGGACCAGCCCATCATGCCAGGCTCAGGGAGAAGCACATGCTGGTTGTCACTCAGTGCCTGGGGCCCCCTCGGGCACCACCTCCTGCGAGGGGCATCATCATAGAGCTGGGTGACCTCCTTAGTTCTGGCCGCCTTCATTGACTTTCTGTCCTTCCTGCTGTGACTCTTCATTTGACAGGGAGGGCAAACATGACGAGAGGAGGTAGAAAAAGGTAGAAGTGCTGGCTCCAGCATGGAGGGGCAGCTGGGCTAGGAAGACGCAGACACAGACATCCCAGGCCGTAGTGTGGAGGGTCAGCTGGGCCCAGGGAGACGCAGACATCCCAGGCTGCAGCATAGACAGCTGGGCTCAGGGAGATGCAAATGGCTTATGCTGTAGTACAGAGGAACAGATGAGAGCCAGTTACTTGTGAAATATTGCATGGCCAAAGCTGGTAATAGTCATGACACTTCACTGCCTGCTTTGGGTTTGTTGAACGACATGGTAGATGCTGCTTATGTACTGTCTCTAATGCAGGTTTTGCCTCCTCCTAGATTTTTGAGGAAATGGTATAAGGGTTGTTGGCCGTCGTTGATGGGCAAAATGGCAGGTAGCAGGATTTCAAAGCAGATTCTGCTGAGCCCCAGGGTTTGTCCCGGAGCCCTCACCTGCCTACTGCTGTCCGCTCTGCCAGGCCATCTCCTGAAAAGCCAGGCCAGAATCAACTTGTGTTGGCCAGTGCACAGGCCTCTGCCTCGTGGCAGGACCAGCAGAGCTGCCTCATGCCCATTCGAGTTAAGGCAAGAAGCACTGAGGTGATGAGTTTTCACACGTCCTCATCTTTCCAAAAGAAACAGAGGTGTCCTGTTGACTTCCACAGCCAGAGGGGAGGGAGCCAGGCTGGGGCCACCGCACTTGGTCTTCCATTTGCACATGGTGGCGCTGGAGGCCCCTGGTGCTCTGTGGCCTGTCTTTCCTTAGCTCCTTTGATTCCCTTGTCTGATGGTTTTCCCCTCTTTCCTGGCCAATAGGGCTGCACGAGCCTTTGTCCCAGTCTCTGACCAGAGTCTGACAGTGGACACAAGGAGGGGCACAGCCAGAGCTTTGCTGTGGGAGCATGGGGAGGCCCTGCGGACCCCTTGCTTTCTGCTGGTGGGACCTGGGCGTGCTCCTCACCCTTCACACCCCCTTGTCCAGAGAAGCCCAGCCCAGTCTGAGGTCTGCTTTGCCTTAGGGTGCAGGGCCAACTTGCTGCACATCGAGCTAGGACTCACCAGAATCCTGTGGCGAGACTGTGAGGTGGACCAGCCCCTGTCATGGTCCTTACCTTAGCTGGGTGAACAGATGGCCAGAGCGTCCCAGGCCTCCACTGACCCCCTCTCATGCAGGCAGCCCCTCTGCCTGCCCCATTGCAATTGGGTCCCGAGTTGGGGGAGGTCCTAAGGGCCCAAGTAGAGGGGTAAAAGCAGTTAAGGCTGCCTGGTGACCCCAACAGGGCTCTGGGAGCTGTGTGCTGGTTTGGGATGTTGACAGCTTCTCTGTTATCTGCATATGCAGGACAGGACCCGGGTCGTCTCACCTATCATCGATGTCATTAACATGGATAATTTCCAGTACGTGGGGGCCTCCGCAGACCTGAAGGGCGGTAGGTGTTCATCCTTGCGCATCTGCCTACTCATCCTGTGCCTAGTGTCTGAGGGGCAGTGACACGGTCCACGCTGCTGTGTGTGCCCATAGGAAGCCCTCTGCATACTACCAGGGCTGTCAGGAAGGGGCCATGGCCCTGCTTCCCA